AAGAAGAAAAGAAAAAAAAACTTCAGTCTATGCTGGCCTAAGAGGCAAACAGGTAGGCACAAGTGAGCACTCGGAAGAGACTATCCTATTTAATGATTTCTATTGTTTCTTCAAATAGTCAATATAAGTATTGTACTTGGGCCAACCTATGGTTGAAATTCATTGAACAAAAGTTTGACCATTTTAGTGAATCTGAGTTTAACATGAAACATTTCTAAGTCTGATAATAAAATTTTTTTAATAATGTTGATGTTTATCTGAAGGATATGAAAACCCCTAAAAATTCAGTGATCCAGAGTCCTCTGCAAGCCCATTTTATTAATAGCCAGTGTATTTTCAGAAATATAGCAAAATCAAATAGAGTACATTCTAAAATCTCGTTAGACCCTAATGGTTTCTACTCCTTCTCCTTTTGGGGATTATGAACTGCTTTGGGAAAGTGATGAAAAATGCACTGAACATTCAACATGTTACTTTCCCCCAGAAAAATGCACATAAACAAAAACTTCTTATATACTATTACAAAAGATCCCCTAAGGATTCATGATCCCCAAGTTAGGCATTTCTATTCCAAAACCTTAGGATATATAATGGAAAAAACATTTAGCCCATTTTCACTTAACTGTTAACTACAGTGTAAAGCAAGAGTTTTGATAACACTACTTCATGGCTGCCTTAAAACAAAATTATTCTCCAATTTTACAAGGTATTTCTTTGTAAAGAAAGGTAATCCAAATACTTCCTATCTCAAATTGGTTAAGACCCTAAGGTTTAAACTATCTCCATTCAAACACACTATTCTTCAGTGAGTCCCTGAAAAATAAATTAAAATACAGTATGAAAGTGAACATGTTATCTACATACTGAAGAGGTTATTGATTTCATAAAATGTATTTCTAGGTATAGCTTCACACTTGAAACCAGACACATGCAGTTACTGCCTCTGGACATAGCATACAACCCCAGGCTACCTTCTTTTAACTTCCTTAGAATTGGTACATTGAAGGCCTCCTCCTATGGTACCTAAAGTCCTTCCTTACTAGTCAGGATAGGAAGCACATTTCTGAACAAATCCACCATATCAAAAACATCCAGCCAAGTCCTCAGTTAACTAATGAGTTAGTGCTCAGTGAATAGATCTCTGAGGAATCTCATGTGGAAACACTGACTATATCTTAGTATCAGATGACTGGACCCTTAATCCAAGGGAAATGACTATATGGAACAAACTTGGGTCTTCTCTGTCGAACTTCACTGGTCACTAAAAAACGTTTACGTTATGGGGTTAATAGGGATATACTACAGGAATTTTCAGACTTCCTTCCAACCCAAGCCTGATGTAAATGTGGGGGGTATGCAATACACACATACACAACAAATACATAAGATTTAATCAAATTCCCTACCAGTCCTTTCAGTCATTCACATTTGTTCAGTGTATTTGCAGATATAGCTGAATACAACAAAAGGGTCACCATGGAACCTCTAACTTGGTCATGGGATTGTCTTTTGCTGTGAAAAAATAAAGCTGTGTATGGTGATGCACACCTATAATCCCAGTGTTCAGAGGCTGATACAGGAGGGTTGCAAGGTCGAGCCCAATCAGGGCCACCTAGTAAAACCCTATTTCAAATTTAAAAAGTTGGGGTATAGCTCAGTGTGAAGGTCCTAGGTTCAATCTCCAATTAAAAAAAAAAAATGTTCCCCTTGTTTTTTCCTTCGTTTTCCTTTGTACATGTTAAACATTAGAATGTGCACTTTATACCTGTGGGCCAAGGAAAACGAGTAGGAAAAGGATACTGCTCTGACAATCTTTAATTCAAGAATGTAAACTCAATGGCAAAGGGCTTACATGTAAAAATGAACTGTTATTTTTTTCACTGACTAGGTGGCATCTTATGAGTGGCATCTTGTAAAAACAATTTACTGATTCTCAATATTCAGTGTATCAGTGTTTGCCCTACTAGACCAACTAAATGCTGAGTGAGAGCTGAAGAGGGTATATCTATTGGTGTTCCTGACTGTGCAACCTTCATACACATTTTTTCATCTTAAATGTAATCATTCAAACACAATCCACACTCAAAAAATTAGAGACAGTGAAGGTTTTTAAAGGTTTCTCTTTGAAAAGATGGTATCTTACAGTACATACAAAAATACTCTGAAAATACATACGACTTCATTTACAAAACACTGAATCAACATATTACAAGAATTACATGGTTATGGATTTTAATAAACTCAGCATGCGTTCATGAAACTTAAAAAATATTAAGAAATGCATTGAAAAAAGCAGTGTAAAAAAAGACAACTCATACTGTTAAATAAAAATTACAAAGGTCCTGAGCCAATTAATGGTTGGTAACAATGTCATTCAAAAATGCCTTTAGGTTTTAATAAAATCCACTGCTATTTCTGCATGCCTAGTCCGTGAAGAAACTGTTTTGAAGTTGTGGGGTTACGGGCAGGGATTATCATGCCGAGTTAATTTTACACCTCAAAAATACAAGTTTGCTCATACTTAAAGGTATCTTATTGTTGATGGTGGGATGAGTTATTCCTCAGTAAAAAATACCAGTCAACTAACAAGAATGGCATGAAACAGTAGGACATGTAATAATTTCACCATTCATATACTGACTTTCAGTATCCTGGTTATATTTTGATTTTTTAATAAAGATGCATTTCAAAGGCCTCCATAGGAGGCAAAATATAGAGAATTTATGGTGCCCAACTCTTATGTAATCACTGGACTAATCCTCCCTGGTAGTTATGCGACATTTGGACAGAAAGGCACAAAAAATTAAAATTTAAACATTCCATGTGCCAATCTGGAAAAAAAAATAATTTAAATCAACAGAACTGACAGTACATCTACACAATGAAAAAAAGCAGAAAAAGATGTCTCACATTCATTTATCTCAGGTTTTACAAAGTGACTTCAATGCTAAAGTAAATACATAAACATCTGAAAAATTACATGACTTTTTTTTTGTTTTCAACTTTTTCAACTCTATACAATGATTAATTACAACATAAGACTAACACACATAGACAAAAAAAGTTCAAGACTTGTTCTGTCAATGTCCAAGTGGCTAAGAACCGGTTCCCATAATAGAGAAATACAATACTTAAAGTTAAGGCAGTAAAACCTCCAAATGCAAAGCCATTAATACTGTAGATGGCAATTTGATAGCAGGTGATCCTCAGGAGTGGATGTGGCAATCAGTGAGCGAATGCTGCAGCATCCACAGGTCAAAGTGTGAGTTTGAAAACCACTTCAACGTTGTTAGGCTGATGACTGTAATGTCACCTATGTTATGTATGGCAGCCGCTTCTATTTGGAAGAGTGGCTGCATCTCTGCCACTATATGATTGCATGTTCACTTCAGTGAGGAGGCACTGCTTTTATCGATTAAGGGTCAGTCGAATGGAATTTTTGATGACACGAATGTTGTTTGCTGGTACTGGAGAAGATGAATCTGGTAGTTCTTTACTGGGCAATCTCTATTAGGAAAAAGCAAGCAAAAAGGAAAAGCATACATACACATTATAAAGGCCCAACAATCAAATCAGAAACTCTTAAGCTTTGCTCCAAATCCCCAAAGCTCCTAAACACTCATGTGTGTGTTGAATAATTCCAGTGTTGTTTGTTCATTAGTATTTCTTGCTTTGGGGACTTTTTCTGGGGTCAGAATTGAAACAGTGCAGAAAAAAGGGTTGAAGTGACAGGAGAGTGTGTATGTGTGTGTGTGCAGGAAAAGGAGACTTCGTTAAATCAGTCTGCACTTCTAGACCAGAGAACTCAGTCCTCCTTGAAGTCAGGCAACAAAATAGGAAGTGCCTGGTGACTAAACAGGAAACTCTTGGGTATGAGGTGAAAAAATGAGTGGTAAGGAGGAAAGCTTGCTACCTGAGGGTTACACAGCTCAGTTTCTATCATTCATTTATGGAGAAAACTTTTAACACAACTGTGACATACGTAAGTTTTCAGGAAAACTGATCTTTTTGTCTAGTTAGGTAACCTTGATAATGGAAAACTTCAGGGACATCTATGTGTGAATTCTGAGGACACTAAAGATTATTATAGGGGCTGGTGACATGGCTCAGTGGTCTAAAGCACCTACTTAGAACAAGCTCAGTGAAGCACAGGGACCGCGGTTCAATCCCCCAGCACCACATGCCAGCCAGCCCCGCCCCCTGATGGGCTGAGCTGGCCGCACACACACACAAATAAAACAAATAAATAAAATTAAAAAACATTATTATATAAGGAAGAGAAAATCTAAGAAACTGAGAAGCAAAGAGATTTCTAAAATACAGACTTTTGTGTGGTAGTAGTAGTATGATCAAGTTTGTCTTTCAAGAGATGACTGTAAGAGTTACTGCTCTTAAATCTGTTTCTATTTCCCCATTCATAAACAAAAAGAACAACTCCCATTACTAAAACAAACAAAACTATAGTCATACACAAAGGTAGAGAACAGGGAAATAGCGCAATAAAGACTCCGATAGCATAACCAAACCTGAGACATTAAAAAAGTTCATCACATTTGTCTGGTTTACCCACTTAGCCTTTGTATGTGAAATATTTAAAAATCCAGACATGTCATTTCACTCTTGTATTATCTAATATCCAGCTCAAAATTTTTTCCATTATCACACTGTAATTACACAAATACAAACACACACACACATGTATGCACGCATGCACGCGCACGCATGTGCTTACAAATCCTACAACTAATGACCATTACAGTTCAGGGAAGATAACATTGTAATGAGAAGCACTTTTTTTTAATGGGGGGGTAAAAATAAACCTTTTTATTCACTGTAAACTCTTGAAAAGGGCTTTCTCAGGATTTATACCAGGGTGCTTTTTAAGCAGATATTAGTTCACCATGCTTAGTAATACTATGTCTTATTAGTAACACTTGAAAGAATAAATCTTTAAAGTATGATTTTAGGCCACTTTAGGCTTTTGGTTCCCCCCCACCCCCCATTTAAGCTAGACATTGAATCCAGGCCTCACATATGCTAGGCAAGTATTCCACCACTACACTCCCCAGTTGTTTCCTTAAAGACAAAAACAAAACAAAAAAACCCTAAGGGTAAACACAATCTAAATAAACCATGAAGTCTTCAACTATCTCCTCTTTTTTAAGCTTCTGAGGCTTCTGGTATGTTCAGAACTCTAGATTTTTTGCTTGCTATCTCTATCTTTAACCCTAATTATACTTCTGTTCCTTGAGAATAGGTTCAAACTCTTTTTTCTACTGCTGGGCTTTTAATAAACCTCTTTGTATCTGTAGATCACTTATAATTTTGTCTATGGGTAAGATTATTACCTTTTTACGTGATGTATCAATAGTTGGAATAGGCATAGATTCTCCTCCAACGGCATCCTAGAAACAGAATAATCACATATAAGCAAAATGTTCTGATATATAACATTTCTACTTGAAATAAAACATAACCAAAACCTTACAGATCTAGTTTGACCTACTCTCTAATACAGAACTTTTCCTGACACATTGCTCTTTTAAGAATTCTGTATAAACAGAGTAAAATAAAAAATAGGAAGTAGAGAGAGATCTTGTTCAACTGGGAAGGGGTTCAGGAGATGGAAGGAGCAGGGAGTGAAATGAGAAGGGGTGGAAAAAGAACACAGATGGGGGGCCTGGGAGATAGCTCAGTGGTTTAAGTGCCTGTCTGGCAAGTGTGAAGAAGTCATGAGTTTAATCCTCGGTACCAAAAACAAACAAACCAACCAACAAACAAAAAAACAGAAAAAAAAACCACACACAGGATAAATCCTGAGGGGATTTCACTGACCTTATCAGACCCAAAAGCTACAACTCTGTTGCCTAGGTCCTGCTTTACCTTGGTCTTAACCATCCAGCAAAAAAGTATAAAAACGAAATATAAGAAGTAAAGCCATGCTGTTATGTTGAGCTACAGGGGACTCAGGTCAACAATTTCTGACATTGCCAGACAAGCGGAAGACCCAATACTATTATGGACTACTGGACTCTTTTAGAATATTTTGCTGAGTTTACACACCTATAATATTCAAATAACGAAACTCAACAAAAAAAGGGGATACAGATGAATGTCCATTTTGTATCTGTGTATTCAAAGTGCTTAGAATAGATATATAGTTACATTCCCTTAATGAACAGAGGGATTCGTTTTAATGGTGTTTGTAAATAGAATATCATGTCTGCATCTTGTACAGCAATTAACCACTAGGAAGAATGTATGCAATGTGTTAATTATTGAAACTGTCCTACCAACCTGATTTGAAAAAAAATTAAAAAAAAAAAAAAAAAAAAACCACACAGATGTGTTATGTGCATGGACCAACTTCATACAGGAATGCAATCATTATGTAGTACAAAAGTACTAATAAAAAATAAAAAACTTGGGCCCGTGAGATAGTTCAATGGACTAAAGTGCCTGCTTAGGCAAGTATAGGAACCACAGTTCAATCCCCAGCATGCATGCTGTGCCAGCCGCACTGCTAGGGCAGGCTGAGTCGGCCAGAGTCTGGGCATAGCAGTGAATGCCTGTAATCCCAGCACTGGGGAGGCTGAGAGCAGAAGGATCACTATGAGTCCAAGCTGTGTAGTGAGACCCTGTAACAATCAAATACATTTAAAAATAAAATAATAAAAATGAAAAATAAAAAAATGAAGAAAAAAAGCATTCTGAAGCACACTGTTAATCTATTTACCATTGATTTTCTTTTTCTGTCTTCAGTAGTGCGGGAGTCCTTAAATGCTGACTCAAGCCGAATAAACTAAAATATAAATATTAAAGGAGTTATTTATCTGTAAAGACAACACAAACTTATATAAACGGTTATCATCAAAAACTACCACAAACATGAGTTAAAGAGTTTTTTTGTTTTTTTAGTACAGGGTCTACAGGGTCTCACTACGTAGCTCGGACTTGTAGTGATTCTCCTGTTTTCTGCCTCCCAAGTGCTGGGATTACAGGCACATGATACTACACATAGTCTCAATCACCAGCTCAGTGTGCCCTGGCGGCGGGGCCGGCATGGCACGAGGGGATCCAACCTAGGCCTCTGCACTCTGCCCAAACAGGTGTTTTAGTCCATTGAACTATCTGGCCAGCCCAATGAAAAGAGACTTAAATTACACTGAATTCAATCGCTATCCTTAATTTGTATATAGTTTAAGTGACTTTTTGGCTAAATCAAGTCCGTTTCTAACATCTATATAACTTTAACACCACCTACTGGAAGCAAAGAGGATCAACATAACAGAGGAAAAAAAAACACAATTTAGTTACCAAGAATAACCCATTTAAGAGAAACTTAGACCAACCATTCAAATTTTTCAGACATATCAATAATTTGAATTTAGGAGGAGCACTTGGTATTATTCCTCTAGGGTTTGATATATTCTTTTCAAACAATCCATTGAGAGCTATGGAGACTTGTGGGTTCTTTATTATTAAGTTAACCTTTAAAAAACAACTATTGGCGCTGGGGAAGATAACTAAGTGGAATAAGTGCTTGCCTAGCAAGCACAAGCTCCTGAGTTTGGTCCCTGATACCACCAAAAAAACAAAAACAAAAACAAAAAAACCCACAACTACTGAATCAATCACTAAAGTTCTAACTTTACCTTTTCTATATCTTTCAATCTTTTAGATGTCCCATCTATGGATGGGGAATGAGATCTTTTGGCTGTAACATTCTTGGTCAGATTTGATATTCCATTTAGATGTGGTTGTCCCTGGGCAGGGTTGTGGGGGGTTGTTATTCTAGGAATGACATTTCTCCCTACGACAGTAGGAATGGTGCACACAGCTGGGGGAGATACAGCTTTTACTGTAGAGTCAACCTCTGAAAAAGAAAAATGTTTAATTTTTTCTCTATTTGAAAAAGACTTTGACAATTACATATTCAGTAGATCATTCATAAAGTTTAGATACATACTCGCACCGATTACTGGAATAGACAGTCCTTGAGCTGGTGGGACACTCAGTGGCTTCTCTGCTGTTACAGTAGCAGGCTCAGCACTATTCCTAATAAAAGTATTAAATTACCATTATTACATGAGTTAACCTTTCTACAATGATTCCTACATGCTCTTTAGTCCTTATCATCTCCCACAGCACTATCAAGTATTTCTAAATAAGAAACTGAGGGGCCGGGGAGATGGCTCAGTGGAATAAGCGCTTCCCTGGCAAGCACAAGGGCCTGAGTTCAATCCCCGGTTCCGCAAAAAAAAAAAAAAAAAAGAAACCGACTGGCATCTAGTAAAAGGAAATCATTTTTTTTAAATGAAATATTTTAACGACTAAATACGCATTTAAGCAAAGATACAAAGGACTTCACACATCTTCAAATAAACTAAAAACTGAAAAGGATAATTTTAATATGCAGACCTTTCTGTTTCTCCTACAGGAGGACTTTCAGGCTTCGGTTTGTTCGCAGACACTGGGGAATTAAAAGGAGTTCCACTGTCTGTGTCTCGGGAGCTGTCCAGACACTTGCTGTCTAGAGATGATCTTTTAGACTGAAGTCCACCTGAGCTTCGGCTGACATCAGAGAGACTTTGCTGAAATAGAGAAAAGTGATTAGAATTTCAAAAAACAAGCAAGAATACCGAGCACTTCAACTTTGAAGTGCATATAAGCAAATTATCATTGAATTATCTGTATCTTTTTCTTTCAACAGCTGTGAGAGATACAAAAAATTCAAATTTGGTCCCACCATTTGTCTGCAAGGAACCACACTGGGGAACTAAGGTTAAAAATTACCTTTTTCTTTTTCTGAAGAATTTCTGCTGGAAGGTAGTGATGAAGTTGTTTTTTCTTTACATGAGTTGCTTCAATTTTCATTCCGTCCTTCAGCATGTTTATATTGTTCGCCTGTCTGTACACTGTAACAATATTAGTATGTTAAATAGAAATTTCTTTCTGAACTAAGAGCTATTTTCTTATTCTGAAGTGCTTATGCCCTCAGTATATCCTCAAATAGGTGAAGAGATGTTATTCAGTGTAATGCCCTGGGTTAATCCCCAGTAACACACACATACCTCTTACACAACCATTGTTTCTAAGAACTTTTATCAACAGTTACAATCCTATTCAATTGACTAGTTCTTCATGTCTATCTTCTAACTCTCATATTCAAATCTCACTAACAACACACAGGCAAAAACATATTTCCAAATCTAGTTTTTTGACATTCTTCCAAAAGACCTCTCTTCAAAATTATCTACTGGAGCCTGAGTCTATTTTTATACTAAGTACCCAAAATGCAGCACAACCTTTCCCTTGTCCACGAGGACTCTTTTTTTAATATTGTAGCTCACAAGTACAGACTTCTCAAACCACCTCTAAGTACATCCTTATTGTATAGGGAAGAAAATGAGGTTCAACAGCTCTGAACATTTTGCCTGAATCAGAACACATACAAGGTTAGATTTACTGCTTTGTAAGAAAATCAATTATATCATCACATAATTGCTTAATGTGTTTGTGAAAAGTCAACTGGATTACAAACCTACTGAAGACAGGGATAGAAGACTTGTTTTATTAGCAACTATAGTGAATTATAGAAATTTTAAAAATTTCTTGGGCTCTAAAGTTCCCACATTTGGAAATGAGCATTTTATATATCTATACTAAAGAGAGCATCCTAACAGTCTCTTTTTTGAAAAAACTGAGACCAAATCAGAATGGAAAAACTGTATCTATGTTCTCATTCCAGATTGCGTATAAAATAATTATTATGAGTTGCAGATTCTTTGGTTCCCCAGAAATGTCTAGCTTTTGTTTTTGGAACAGAATCTCACTATGTAGCTTAGGCTGGCCTTGGACTGATGGCGATCCTCCTGCCTCAACTTCCAAAGTGCTGTAAGTACAGACATGCGTCACATGCCCTGCTCCCAGGAATGTGATTTTATGATTCAAAGCAATGTGTTGGTATAAATGTGTGGGCCAGTTCAAAAGCATTTAGAGGGCCAGCGCAATAGTCCAGCGGACTAAATGCCTGCTTGTAGACAAGCAAAGAGACTGGGATTCAATCCCCAGCACCACACACAGTGCCAGTCCCACCCCTGGGCACACTGAGCCGGCCACTGAGACTGGGCAAAGTGATACACACTTGTAATTCCAGAGCTGAGGAGGCTGAAAACAGGAGGATTACTACAAGTCTGAGCTGTGTAGTGAGACCCCACACCAAATACATTAAAAAAGAACGCATTTAGAAAATTCAGATGAATCAAGTAATAGTAATAATAATATGAATATATATTATTTCAGGTTAAGGCAAACCAAAGTATATCTAATATATTAAGATATTTTGGGCTGGAGAGATGGCTCAGTAGAATAAGGTTCCATTCCCAGTTCTGCCAAAAAAAATTTTTTTTTTTCAAAGAGGTGTAGCTGGGAGATAGATAGGAAAGATGTTCTGGATCCTGAAATATATTCAGAAAGTCTTATGCATTGTTATTTATTTCACATAAAACACATTAAAAATTAAGTCATCTTATGATCACAAATAATGGCTGTGCACAAGAATCATCATCTACAGGTTTTCCTCAACTTTCTTTTTGTTTTAAAACAGGTAACATATTAACATGGTTCGAAACTCCAAGGATTTACTAAGTCTCCTCACACTTGTTCCCTAGACAGGCTGTCTCTCAAGTACCTTTTCCAGCTTTTTTTTTTTTTTTTTTTTGTAAATTAAGTATCCTTCTAAGAATATTATATGCATTTGTAAGCAAACATGCATACTTTGTTCTTCTTTATGCAAATAGTGCATAAATATATATGCATTATTTTGTAACCCAACTTACTGTGGCTTGGAAAGTGCTTCATCATCCCTTTCCTTTTTTATTTTTTTATATTTATTGAGAATGAAGTAGCAATTTTTTTATATTAACCTTTCCTTTTTTTTTTTTTGCTGAACTGGGGACTGAACTCAGGTCATTGTGCTTGCCAGGCAAGTGCTTAATCTACTGAGCTATCTCCCAGCCCCCTCTTTCCATTTTTTAATACCAGCAGATTTCTACAATATGGATTCACTATTTCATTTAACTGATTGTGAAACTTAAAAAAAAAAGCCAGCAGGTTCTAGGTAGTTAATATGGAGCTACAATTAAAGTTGAGAATCACAGCTCTATGATGACAAAATCTTACCTGTATCAGTAAATGACTGTATATCATATGTCAAGTCTATATTAACACTTTCTGCATTTTCTACTCTTCGAAAAATTATCCCAAGGAACCACATTGATACGAAATTGTTGCTGTGAAGTAAAATTTAAGAATTTCCATTAATTTAAATAATAATTTTACAGAAGCTATTTGGTAATTAAAACTTAATCTGTATGTCTCTGTCTCATAAATAAGATTTCAGTGGCTTGATTAAATTCTTTAAATGACATCCCAAACTAGTAAGTTATCCTGTGTTGTTCTAAAGAAGATTAAGTGGCTTTGAAAGTGACTCACTGAATACATACTTGAAGATGCTCAATTAGAGGCATATTTGCTGAGTCCATGGGTTACCACAGTATTTGTAACCCATGGACACTCACACTCAAACAGGTAAGTGGGGCAGAGGGGGGCACACCTATATTCCCAGGGCTCTCAGAAGCTGAGGCAGAGAGATCACAGAGCTCAGCCTGGGCCAACTTAGCAAGACTGTCTCAAAAAATACGAAAGAAATGTGGATATTGTTTAGTGCCCTGGGTTTAATTCCCAGTAACACACACACACACACACACACACACACACACACACACACTATTAATCCTACCCCACTGATGTAACTGACTTGAAACAATGCATATGCCAAGTGACAATATTTTAAAAATATAACATAAAACAATGAACTTACTCTTTATGATGTTCTTTATTCCCTGGGAATGACTGGGGATTCACATGGGCAAGAGTAATAAATTCATTCCGTTCCAAGTTTCCAACAAGTACACGGATTTTAGATTCTACTAATCCAACCCTGAAATACACAAGTTTTTTCTTATAGTCATATTAAATTTGCAAATTATTCAAGTAAACCAAAGAGCACATTAGCTGTGAAGCTTTACAAATTCATTTTAATAATATAGTCCATATCA